GACTCCAAGGCACCCTGAATCCATCCTGTAGCAAAGGAAAGGCCGTCTCCAGCAAAGAAGATGTTTGCCATTGGGTATTCCATAAGGTAGCGGACGTTTTGGTACTGGGTGGGTTTGAGTAGGGCGTATGCTCCTTGAGCGTTCGGTCGGTTGTACCACGCGCAGACGGCACCCGTTTCAACCTGCTCCCTGATCTGTGGGTGAATGGTGGCTATTTGCTCTACTGCTTCGTGTACCGCACTTTGAGGATCAAGGGAACCAAAAAGTAGGGCCTCCGATTTCCACGTGTAGACCAATAGGATGCCCTTTTCCCCGGGATGGTCCCCGTCGCGGTTACTTGGATAATGGAGCTGACCAATGGGAAGATTTGTTTTGGAGAATCCACCTTTGATGTCCTCATCCTCCCAAAATCTCGTCTTGGTCTGTATGAATATTTTAGTCGCGGCTCCTGTAAAGATGTCTTCTATGGCCTTGTGAAAACGCTGTGGTGGAGGCGGAGTAGTAGTATCATTGGGCGTGAACTTGATTTGTCTAAGAATGTTGATTGGAGTGGCCACTATAACAGCATCTCCCTCGACCTGAAAAGGCTGTCGGCTGTTGCTGAAATAGCCTTTGATCACCACGTGATTTTTTTCAGTGTCATCCTCATCAAATGTGTAGAGAATCTCCTTGACTGTACGGTTGAGGAGGATTTTCTTGTGAAGGTGGACGTCGGGATTCCAGCCTCTTCCTTTATTAGGCTCGGTGAAGGCTTCTGGCAACAAAGACGTCCCTCCTACAATACGGTGCATGTTTGGCGCCCACCACTGTCCTAGCTGATCTCGGAGGTATTGCACCAGACTTTGGTCAAGCTGCTCTGTGTAGCTAAAAACGCTGTAGGCAGTGATGGCAGCATCTGTCCAAGGAAGGTACTTCTTAAGCTCTTGGAGGCCTTTCAGAGAGATTTTGCGGGCTTTGTTCTTGATTTTTGTCATGACGGCTTCGTAGCTACTTTGTAGGAACCCATCAAGTGAGAACTGACTCCAGATATCAATCCATTCTTTCCAGGCATCGCATGGTTTAACGTCAGGATTATCAAGAAGGTCACGCAGCTGGTCTGTTATGACTTTAGTGGTACAATTATAGTAGTCATCTGCAGTGAGATGAAGATGAAATTTTAGAAAAAACTACGCACAACAATTTCACCAAAAAAGAAGGGGATATGTCATGATATTGTCTCTAATTAAATGAAGCTCGCTAATTAAAAAAGTGATTTTCCAATGTATCGCCGATTTTGTTACTGTTCCATTTCAACCTAATGACATTTTCTTTAATACTCTTCATTCTACTCGAAACTCAGTGTTTCCTCCCTTCTTCAGCTTCTTTCTGTCCCAGGTCATAAACCTTCATTTATATCAATTTTTTCTGTTTCCTTGTTTGTTTTCATTTTAGCCTAATTATGCTGAACGCAATACGATATCTGATGTAAAATTACGTTGCTTGCAGCTCCACCCTTAATTTATTTATTTGAATTCCAATTTGAGTCTACTTGTTTGGAAAACTAATAGAGGAAACCGTTAATTAAAAGCGCGGAGATTTCTATATTGAGCTTTCTCGCCTTTATGTTTTCTACACATTTGTACTTTTTATTTATATAATAAAAGGGCGGCAAAGTTCAGTTCTAACCACTATTGGACAACTATAGTAAGTTGTATAGTTAAGCTTATTTCAGGCTTACCGATACTTGCGATGCCTTCTACTCCATTTTCTTTGAGGGTATCATTCCATCCAGGCCAAAGTTTGTCGAAATTTGCGTTATCCCATTCTGTTACAATTAAAGATAAAATATTTAGTTGTTATCTCAGAGTGTTTCAAAGATAACAATTTTCTCTAAGCCACCCATCGGCCCTTCAGCCGTATTTCGAATTACGCAATAAAGGCGAATAAACGTTGCGTAGCAGACCTCCACATGGGGGGAGGCACGTAAAGGACTTATGGGTAGGGGTGTGCCGCCAAGGTTTTCAAACCCTGATCTCACTTCAAGACAAAAAAGACAAAAAAGCCGTTCAATTAGCTACCTTGATTAAGACAAAGACCGTCCTTTTCTCGTGAACGTGATTCATTTCATTTGGCATCACAGAATTAGATTAAATTAGATTATCAGGTTATTAAAAAATTGTTGATACATCACATGTGGGTTAAGCCACCGCCAAAGTACACACCTTGTTCAAGGCTTCCTGTCCAAAAAGACGCCTTGTATGTCCAAGGCGCTAAATGACGCTAACTAAGACTCAAGATTCAGAAGACCATACCCTGTTCGGTGGCATACCCTTTTAGGCCGAAAAAGGGAGTGTCACCCCAGAAGCAGACCACAGACCACCATAGTGGTTAAATTATGGGGTTACATCTGATATCATAGATAGGCGTTTTACCCATAAAAATAACCAAAAGGTGTTGTACTATTTACGTTTAATTGTG